CATTGATGATAATTCATTTTTCAAGGCAGTTTATTGTATGCACTGCTTCCCTCTAAAAAATGCCCAATTGATTGAGTTTTTCTTATTTCATATCATCATTTTGTATCATTAATTGATATCATTACTGCATTCTTCGAATGTGTGTGACGGAATTCCGCCCTGTTGTACCGTGGTATAAATAAAGACATATTATTATTATTATTATTATTATCATTATTATTATTATTATTATCAATAATATTTAATACTGATTTTTCTACCACTTTTGTGATCAAATAAGTTGATCATCATCAACTCGAAAACATTAAAACTTTCGGCATGAGGCCGTCATCATTGGCACACATATTAAATGCATGCCTTTATAAAATGCATCGCCCTGTACGTTACCTTCGTGATGTACACCCTACCCTGTACCGGGTGTCTCGATTGCCGAAAGTCAACGTTATGCCACAGTTGAGAGATTCCATAAACTGTGGTGATAGGCCAGCTCAAGACTGACCAGAATGACGAAATATGATAGCATTAAAAATATTGCAGACTTTCATCGTGAATATTGTGAAAATCTACCCTATACGATCAATTTTTCGAGTGTTCAGTTACATAATTTCATATTTTGGTTCCCGAAAGATTTTTGGTGATCTTCTCTTCTCGTTCCCAAAAATAAAAATATGAGTAGGGCATTTCCAAAATTGGGACACTAAGTGAAATGGGTGATTGATGAAAGCATTTTCTCAACAAAAAAAAAATTCTGAAGATAGCTTCAAAGTTTGCCTGAAACTTCTGTGAATAATTGATCAGAGGTTACGTACCTAATGGGCTTATATCACAAAAAATTTTTATTTCATAATTCGATAGAACTCACCCAAACTAGCTCACCACCGCAAACCGTTTCTTGCTGTGAGCTCCCTACGTTTTATAAAAAAATATTGAAATCCCCGATTTTTCGGACCTCGGAAAACGAGGCGATGATGTGACGTCAAAACCCTAATACTGAAACAAGACTATTCCAGACAGAGATGAATGATACAATATTTCTGACAGAGTGAATTAGCGCGAGATCACAGTTGAAAGAATTAATATATCAGTTGCCTCAGTCTCTGTCGGGCTTTTAGTATTTTCTTTCAACTATAGCGAGATGAGGTTTCTACGTCATAAGAGGGTCCGTTTTCAGATGGTACTATTATTTATGTCCAAAAATAAAACATTCCAGTTAATTTTTCGATCGAATTATGTCGTCAATCATTATTTATGTATAAATGGATCATTATAAACATGGTTTGAGTTAAAAGTTCTACTAAGGTGTACACGCCCATTGCTGAACCCGAGCGTTTGCTTCAGCGGAGTCAGAAGCACACCGGAATTATTAAGGATGTTTTCCAGTATTTGAATGATACCTAATAAAAAGAAAATTATGAAAAACACTTCTTGTGATTTATTATCTCATTATATCTCATGCCCCATTTTATTTATCGCCCCAATGTCGGAAACACACTTATTGTGTGTAGTAAGGACAAACCAGATGATTTGCCCCAAAATATGTCACTGCGTGTAAACATTTTACTATTTATCAGAAAACCTAAAAAGCAATGCAATCCATAGTCAGTGACACCTTGTTTTGAGTAGATAGAGTGTGAGAAAGGATGATATGAATATATCGAAAAAATATCAAATTTCCACTGATAATTCTATTACAATATAGTCTCATTGATGAAGTCCATAGAAAATTTTTGAAAACTCAGATGAAAATAATGAAATGTACGTACTCATGCAATTATTCCTCATTACACTCACGGAGAAGTAAAAATTTCAATTTCCCCATGCACATTATTTGATATTTATTTGTGTTTTTCCTATACATACTTCTCACATTGTTGTACTCCATATCAATGATCTGTTTGGTGCAACCACTTGCCCACACCACCTTGTACAATACATGGTTGAATTCAGAAAAAAAAAAGCTTTCAGAATCTTTGAAATAATTATCGGGAACGTTTTTAAAAGACAAAAGTTGATGATGGTTGTACGAATACGAAACGTCGCATGAAAAAATCCGTATCACCACGTTAAACGTCATCAAAAGTTACTATTAAAGAGTATTTTCAGTTTTTCTGTATCTCTAATAATAACGGTTAAAAAAATATACAGTGCGTTCATAAAGTGTGGAAACGCTCCATTATCTTACGATATAATTATTTTCAGAGGTAAAGCTCGGACAGGTCGATTTTGTATTTCAGTCTTCCATCTTTTTTTACAAAAAAATATTTTTTTCCCCCACCACCTTACAAGATATGACGTCATCGATATTTTTTTTAAATTGAAAGGGTATATTTTTATATCAAAAATTGAAAGCCCATATTTTTCTGAGTTCAACCATACCACATACGTCATATCTTACACTTCAAGTTACAGTATACTGAGTATAAAAGAAACCAGTGTTCATATTTCTCAACATTCATTTAATTATTTATTTTGCAATGGAAACCTGAGAATTACTCAGTAGTTAGTACGAGTATATTTGCCATTTGTTATTTGTTTATTTTCACTACTTCTTATGATATTTTCATTGCAAATAAATAATTAAATGAATGTTGAGAAATATGAACACTGGTTTCTTTTATACTCAGTATACTGTAACTTGAAGTGTAAGATATGACGTATGTGGTATGGTTGAACTCAGAAAAATATGGGCTTTCAATTTTTGATATAAAAATATACCCTTTCAATTTAAAAAAAATATCGATGACGTCATATCTTGTAAGGTGGTGGGGGAAAAAATTATTTTTTTGTAAAAAAAGATGGAAGACTGAAATACAAAATCGACCTGTCTGAGCTTTACCTCTGAAAATAATTATATCGTAAGATAATGGAGCGTTTCCACACTTTATGAACGCACTGTATAGAAATTCCAAGAATTCACTCCTTTCGATATAACTGCAAACTAAGAGCAATTTTGGAAATTTTCGAAGGCTGTTGGTATGAGCCTCCGAATGCGCAAATTTTTTCTCACTTAACCGACTTCGTATCTCCTACCGTTTCCGAGATCCCCATGCTGTGCAACCTCATGCTTAGACGTACTGTATATCCGGGAAAAAAGTACGCACTTTTTTTCAGTGGGAAAAAAGTAATTTATGAAAAGTGACATTTCATAAACTGTCAACAGAGATGAAGTTCCAAACTTTTTTCCCGTCACAGAAAAGCTATACCTATTTCGTTGGTCGGGAGCTGAAGCTATGGAACCCATTGTCGACGGTTATTCTGATGGTATCAAATTACATTAAGAGCTGATGACTTGATCATTATACAGGGAAAAAACATAGTTACTTCGTCACCCATTATTTCTGTGGCGAATTTGAGTGGTTGAACTTGGCTTCATTATGCTTTGGACTGAAGTGTGATCACTTTTCAACACAATTGTTTCAGATTCACGTCAATATCTTATTTTTAAGAGACGATACTGTCTGTAGGTTAATCCAGGAGGTGGTACATCCATTATTCCAGATCTTCGGGATTTTCTCTCCTCGTTCCTATAAAATAAATATATGGATATTATTTCATATGATTTCATATGATTATTCCAGATTTTTTGGGAATTTCTCTCCTCGTTTCTATAAAATAAAAATATGAATATTATTTCAATATAAGTGTGTGTATTTGGATGATTTGCCCCAAAATGTCACTGCGTTCAAAGAATTTTCCTATCAGAGAGCCTAAAAGAAAAATTCACCAGCTTGTCACTGACAATTTGTATTGAAAAAGGTTTGGAGAAGAGAAATAATGGTATATAGAGAAAATATCAAATTTTCACACAGCTTTGGACGTTTCGAGACCGAATCTGCTCCCGTTCTCAACATAAAAAATGGTTATTTGAATAGCAAATTACAGGAGAAATAAAGGTATATAGAAAAAATAAAAAATTTTCACTTAGCTTTGGACGTTTCGGGAACAAATCAGCTCCCGTTTTCAACCTAAAAAAATACGAATTTGCTATAAGAATATCGAAGTTTACAACAAGTAACAAAACCAAATAACAAAATAAAACATAAAAAAACAAGAGCAAATTATACTCAGTTAAATTAACAATTTTTAAAAAAAATTACCATTATTTCCAACATAGAAATTGATTTCTCTCTAAGACGGTCAAATTTAGAGCCTTTGACCAATATTATTTTTTTGTGTAGAAAATATTGGCAGTTCAAATGGGGTGCTCAAAACTGTACTTCTTCCAGTGGCGTAGAAGTTGGGTAGGAATACACTCACTACCCCTTCAATATCTCCACCAATTATAACCTGCAAAAAAAATCCGCACAAAACATAGCTTATTATGAGTAGAAAATGCTCACGAAAGCTGTTTTTTGTGCGATAAACGGTTCCAGAGATGTTCGCAAAAAACATTTTTTTTTTCAAATATCAACACCCTTTATCTCGAAAAAAGTACATTTTGGAGGTTAAATTAATAAATAATTTTTTCATAATTTTGGACGAGCTATCACATCCTGAAGTCCTGCGCATATATTATGAAACACCCTGTATATTATATTGAAGTTGTTCACTTGGTTTCGCAATGAATTATTGTCTGAACGAAAATTCATTTTATGTGAAAAATAATATAATGTTTTCTCCAAATTCTTTTCAATTTCACGCAAAGTCCAAATAGTCCATCATTTTTTGTTCACCCAATCTCATCAGTTTTGATTACCAATTTGATTCAAATTACTTGGAACGTTTTATAGCAACGAACTTTTACTGCCTGTGGAGTGTCATTAAAAAGCCACATTTGATGTCATTTGGAGAAAAATAATTATTATCGTTTTTCAGATCGAAAAATTACAGCGACGCCACCACAAGTAGACCTAGAAGAACTAGCGAATCTAGAAGGTCCCCAATTGGCTGAACTAGTGCGGCTGTACATGAAAGAGAACGAAGCTTTGAGGACGGACAACGAGGAACTCTTCACCTCCAGAGACCTGCTGCAGAGAGACCACGAGATTGTGTGCAGAGAGAACGAACGTCTGTTGAAAAAACTGGAAGAAGTCAATTCGTAAGTGCTAACGAAAACGACGCTGTATATAAAAATCAATTTAGAATATGTTGCAGTTCGCCACTTATTCCAGCTAGACCGGCTTTTTCTGCGGAGATTTTGAACAGTAGTGATAACCAGGGTGCTAATATTTGGACTAATCCGATTCCTGACAAATCTCCTGTGAGTAGATATACCTAATTGAAAAATTAATCGGTTCAACAGGAAGTGGACACGAACGTCCACGTCCTTTTATTTTAAACGGAATAACACTCTATTCCATCCATCCTTTCAGATATTTGATAATAAACACGGCGTTCGATTTGATAGAAATTAATTTTGGGGATATCGAAAACCTCGAAATGACAAGATATTTTCGACCACACTATTCAAGTTTTGGTGAAATTCTATATTTCCAAAGATCATCATGTATCCTAGATCTGGTTAAAATTTGAAATAGGTATTCAATTTCGAAACTTTCTAAGACGAGCATTTCTGAATATACTAGTGCAAACTCAACGTTTGAGTTGAAAATTATCATGGGGACATATTATTCGCGAAAATCACGAATCATATTTCAAACTGAGTATGAACAACAAAAACATTGCCGTATGTACCCATTGCAAATTGGTTATTTCGAAATCCTTTTCAAAATAGTAAATAATAAGTTGACTTCGTGAAATCTTTATAATTGACGTACAAGGTTTTCCTCAAATCAGTCTTCTGTTCACTATCCAACTTTCCTGTCAGAGTCAGAGTTAAACCTTTTCCATTAATAAACTGTGCAATTCCTTCCACTTCTGCTATAACAAATCTACCTGCCTTTATGAATGGGACTTTCAAAGTTGGTGACATAGCTTCAGCATTTGGTTTTGATTCAACTGTATAATCTAAATGACACATTTTGAAAAAGGCTTGGACCGCCAAACGTTTGATTTGTTCAACTTCATAAGGCTGAAATAACTTGGCATCTTTTGGCCATGGCTCCTGTGCTGTGTAAATGATATGAAAATGAATAAAAATTTCTCAAAATTACTTATTTTGAAAAAAATAACTACTTATTTCAAAAAGTACGTACTCGCCTCCGAGTTCTATGAAGTTTTTCTCAATCAAAGATATGTTAGTGAGTTGAGGAAAATACGAATTTTCCTTCAATTCAATTGATTTAGTGAGGTTAACTTCATAATTTCTTCATTTCTTATCTAGTCTTGCACTTGCATCAATTAACAATTATAAGCCTTCATTACAATGATATTAAAGATCCTCCAATTGTATTCCACCGAAAACCAAGAACTATATGACTTGATGCTTCGTCAATATTTTTCGAAGTGGCTTACAAGATATTCTCTTTTAATTCTTCTCGGATTGATTGAGAATTCGTCATCCAATTAACTACCTCAAATCCTCTCAGTTTCATAACTCTTCGAACTTCTCAAATCATTTTTTAAGCATCTTCTTCTGTATCTTTGGCGTCAAGATAGTCTTACACATAAAATGTCTCTATGATTGTCATTTTATATCTGTATCATCTGCCAATTTCTTTGAATTCCATTTTTTCACAAACTGCGCACATACCAGGTAACAGGTTGCACAGGAGGTCATGATATTCATTTCTTAAATGTCCGTTTGTCTTTCGTATTCCACATTTCTCCAAAGGAGTCTTGTGAACTTCTATCTTCTTTTCGAATTTGAACTTGGTGGAATATTTTCCTAAGATCGCCACAAACTTCATAACGTCTCTGTCTGAATTTCCACAATATCGCAACTAGTAACTACAGTACATCAGGACCTGACAGAAGAACATCGTTAAGGCTGACATAATGGGATTTTTCAGTTGCGTCAAATACCACACAACAACAGGGTGAATGAAAATTTCACCTAACACCCATCTAACCTTTGCCTGTGCTTTTTCAAATTCAAATGACGCATTTTGAAATTGAATTGTCAAATTGGAAATACATCAATGTTGATGCTTTCTGAAATCCAAATGACGATTTGGAAGTACAATTAACCATTTTTCAACTGAAGTTGGAAAAGGTGTAGTAGCAACAGGTCCATACATTTTTAGAGCCACATCGTATTTGTCGAGAAATTATCAAACTGATGTCATCTTGTCCAACTATCATGACAGGTTTCACGTTTCGAATGTTTCAACTGGTATTCTCTCCAAATGTGGATGTCATCCTAAAATGATTCCTCTTTCCGAAAAATCACACATTTTGTTTCTGTCATCCTCTTTTGGTCTGGAGGAGACATGTGACTGGTTTCTTACTGCTAATTGAATAGTTGCTGGCTGTACATGGATATCAGCAACTGTAGTACCTCGTCTCAGAGCGTTTACCAAATTGATTGGGCTACGCGTACTTAGATGACAAAAGTCTATTCTGGCCAGCTCCAAAATCAAACTCGATTTGGTCTGAAAGACTTTTATTTGACATTCATAAACAAACTAACAATTCTCATATCCACGATGGCTCACATCAAAAACTAATCAAATACACTGTAACTGACCTCATTTGAACTATACAGGGTGAGTCAGTTTTTTGTAGCAGGACTTTAACAGCTTAAATTTATTCAAGTCAAAAACCTTATAAACATATGCGTGGGAGCTTCGTTTCCGATATACAGAGTTTCAAAATTTGCATTTTTTTTTGTGTTTTTCGAATTTACTCCTACATTTTTCAGAATAATGGATTGAAATTTGGTACACCAATCACACTTTACAAACGCAATATTCGTGGCTGTAGAGTGTTCTTGGATACCTACAGGATGATACACTTTTGAGGGTCGTACCCGAGTTAACGCTCTCGAACTTTTTTGCGTACCGCCTCTGTTTTCTATGGAACATCAATTCATATTCTCTTTGGATACTTTTCGCTACCTTTTGTTTTTTCGAAAACTGTATGGGTTTCAAAATAAATGCCAAAAATAATGTACTTGTAATGAAACTTTAGTCCGTATTTTGTGAATTTTAACAGTATGAAAAACTCGTTTTCTCGAAATGAAAATATTACGTACACATAATGCATGGAGGCTTCGCTTCCGATATACAGGGTTTCAAAGTTCGAGATTTCTCTTGTGTTTTTCAAGTTTTATCCTACATTTTCCAAAATAATGAATTGAAAGTTGGTACGCCTGGTACACTTTGGAAACGCAATATTCGGGGCTATCGAGCGTTATTCTTGAATACCTACAGGATGATACACTTTGGGGGCGTATTTTTCAAAGCCTCTCAAACTTTTTTGCGTACCGCCTTTGCATTCAATGAATCATAAATTTAGATTCTCTCTTCAATTTGAATAATTTCTGCTCTCTTACATTTTTCTGAAATTTGATACGCCTGGTACACTTTGGGAACGCAATATTCGGGGCTATCGGGCGTTATTCTTGAATACCTACAGGATGATACACTTTTGGGGTCGTATTCTTCAAAGCCTCTCGAACTTTTTTGCGTGCCGCCTTTGCATTCAATGAATCATAAATTTAGATTCTCTCTTCAATTTGAATACTTTCTGCTCTCTTACATTTTTCTGAAATTTGGTACGCCTGGTACACTTTGGGAACGCAATATTCGGGGCTATCGGGCGTTATTCTTGAATACCTACAGGATGATACACTTTTGGGGTCGTATTCTTCAAAGCCTCTCGAACTTTTTTTCGTGCCGCCTTTGCATTCAATGAATCATAAATTTAGATTCTCTCTTCAATTTGAATACTTTCTGCTCTCTTACATTTTTCTGAAATTTGGTACGCCTGGTACACTTTGGGAACGCAATGTTCGGGGCTATCGAGCGTTCTTGAATACCTTCAGGATGAGACACACTTTTGGGGTCGTATTCGTCAAACCCCCTCGAACTTTTTTGCGTATCGCCTTTGCATTGAATGAATCATAAATTTAGATTCTCTCTTCAATTCGAATACTTTTGCACTCTTAAATTTTTCCGAAAACTGTATTTATGTCCAATTTATGGCTATTACACTTGCCTGCATAATTTATTTACCAACATTGACAGTTTGATAGTTGTAAAATAACCGAAACACCCTGTATGAGACAGACAAAACGTTTTGTTAGTAGTAAACTTCAATAAATGAATGTCAAATGGAGTGTGTTCGAAAGATGAGGTTTTATTACAAATAAATTATTTCTGGCATTCATCTCGAAATTGATACAGTTTTTGAAGGAATATAAACAAAAAGTATCCAAATTGGAGAGAGGTTCTAAATTAATGATTCATTGAATGCAGAAGCGGAGCGCAAAAAAGTTCGGGAGATTTAAAAGGGGACGACACCAAAAGTGTATCATCCTGTAAGTATTCAAGAACGCTCGATAGCCCCAAATATTGCGTTTCCAAAGTGTACTAGGTGTACCATATTTCAATTCATTGTTTTGAAAAATGTAGGAGAGAACTTGAAAAACACAAGAAAAATCTCCAACTTTGAAACCCTGTATATCGGAAACGGAGCCCCCGCGCATTATGTGTACATGAGATGTTCATCATGAAAAAATGAGTTTTTCAAACTGTTAAAATTCTGATACAAAATACGGGCTCGTAAAATGAAGTTTCATTACAAGTGAATTTTTTTGGCATTTATCTTGAAACCCATACAGTTTTCGGAAAATCAAAAAGGAATGAAAAGTATCCAAATTGAAGAGAGAATCTGAATTGATCTTCCATAGAAAACAGAGGCGGTACGCAAAAAAGTTCGAGAGGGTTAACTCGGGTACGACCCTCAACAGTGTTATCATCCTGTAGGTATTCAAGAACGCTCAATAGCCTCAAATATTGCGTTTCCAAAGTGTGACAGGCGTACCAAATTTCAATCCATCATCATTCTGAAAAATGTAGGAGGAAATTCGATATCGGAAACGAAGCTCCCTCGCATGTATGTTTATGTAAGATTTTCGTCTTGAAAAAATGTCTCCTTCAAGCTGTTAAAGTCCTGCTACAAAAAATTGACTCACCCTGCATATGTATGGGGATCATACAGAAATATTCCGTATGTCTTTCGAAAGAGCGGTTGGGAGTATCTGGGTTAATGTCAACGTTAAAATGAGAAAATTAATTAACCTTATCCATAACAAATTTTCAGGTTTTTCTTATGCCGAGTTAGTTGAAAATATGTGTCTTCGGAGAAAGTTCTTGGAATCTGCCCTTTCGAAGTGTTTGTTAAACAGAGTCAGTGGGCATAGATCCCACCGATATAATTTCCCAATGGGCAATAACCATTTTTTGATAATTGGGTTAAAGTTTATAAAATATACCCATCTGTTCCATTCCGAAATTCGACAATTATAATGAATAATTAATTGTCTGAAGTTAAAATCCCTTAGTTATTCGTTTCACTAGGCAGCAAAGTAGTAGATTACCTGCTGCGGCTGATAGTCCATAGCCGAGCGTAGCAGTCAATCTACAATTGCTGGCGTGTGAAATATATAATTTCTTCTCCAAATGTAATAAATCCAATATCGTGCGATTTTTTTTACTGAAAACTCCATCAACCAATCGTTCACCCAATGTCACTGTCAATTTTGATTACCAATTTCATTCAAATTTCTTGGACGTTGCATAGCAAGGAACTTTTCCTGTCTAGGCAGAGAAAATACAACTTTCCTGCCTGTTAAGTGTCATAGGGAAGCCACTTTCTATGCCGCTTGAAGAAAATAGTTATTCGATTTACTAGGCAGGAAAGTACAAGATTCAATGCCGCGGCTGGCGTTTCATAGCCTAGGCGTAGCCGAGGCTAGGAAACCAGCCAAGGCATTACATCTTCTTTTCTGCCATGTGAAACATATAATTTTTTCTCCAAATTCTTTTCAATTTCACGCAAAGTCCAAATAATCCATAATTTTTTGTTCACCCAAAGTCATTGTTAATTTTGATTACCAATTTGATTCAAATTACTTGGAACGTTGCATAGCAACAAACTTTTGCTGCCTAGGCAGTAAAAGTTCACCTTTTCTGTCTGTTGAGTGTCATTGAAAAGTCACTTCTTATGTCATTTGGAGAAAAATAGTTATTTGCTTTACTAGGCAGGAAAGTAGTAGATTGACTGCCGCGGCTGACAGTTCATGGCCGAGATTAGCGAGGCTAGGAATTCAGCCAAGGCAGTCAATCTACATTTACTGCCGTGTGAAACATATAATTTCTTCTCCAAATGTTATGAAACCCCTTTTCGTGCAGGTTTTTTGTTGAGAACTCCATCACTTTTCGTTCACCTAATGTCAGTGTCAATTTTGATTACCAATTTCATTAGGATTTCTTGTGGAACGTTGCATAGCAACAAACTTTTCCTGCCTAGGCAGTAAAAGTACACCTTTAATGCCTGTTAAGTGTCATAGGAAAGCCACTCTTTATGCCGCTCGGAGAAATATAACATTTTTTTCCTCCTCCTCAGGTTAACAGCTCTAACCAAATTCCAGATCATATCAGGAAAGAACTTGACAAGAGGCAAATTGGAAATGGGTACGTACTTCGACTCCAACAAAAATACAAGATTTTTGAACGGGAACTCGATGGTAATACAATATTTATAAGAGAGGCGCACTCCTATAAGAGGAGGGGGAGCATTACCCTCCATTGCCATATTGCAGGAATACGCATACTAAGATTTTTTATCGAATAAATTCAATCAAATCCATTGCTCTAATGCCTTGCTACCGGCCCATTGCCGTTGTGGGAAATCGCGGAGATATGAGCCCCTTGAGAACGCCGGTGGAAATCGTTATTTCTTGAAAAACTTTCAAAGTTATCAATTTTTTTTAACATCTTCTGTGATGAAGGCCAAAATCAGAAATCGAATAACTTGAATTTCAAACTAAAAAAAAGGTTCTCTTCTTCGTTGTGGGTGAAATAAATTGTTTTCAAGGGAAATAAATAATGTAAGTTGGGGAGAACGGGGAACAGTTGCCATTTTTCCAGATTTCCATTTTTAATTCAGTTATGGATTATTGTTTCCATGAAAAAACTGTACAGGTCAAATAAATTCCTATTTTAATATGTAGAAACATTTTATCACTCAACTTTTATGAAGTATAATACAGAAGAAAACAAGCATTTTCTAGAAAATGAAAATCTGGCCACTGTACACCAAACATAGGGCACAGACAAACCACACATAGACGAAACTTCTGAACGGACTGGATCCAGAAAATATCCACGTTCTGTACGCCGACGCGGACGTAAACAGCCTCCCGCAAAAAAGTATCCATTCCGGTCAAAAGAGTCTGAAATATACTATACTCCTGGTAAAATTTCCACGTATGCAGCCCCAGTGGGTGAAAATGGGGGGGCTGAGGTTGAGGGGGAGAATTGGCCAATAACATAGGATGCGGTTTAGACGGTGGGAATGGGTAATCATCAGGGCTTTTCAGAATCGCTGATTTTATTTCCGGGACCGGTTTTCACCACTGGGGGTGAAAATGGGGGAGGCTAGGGTTGAGAAGTAGACAATTACTAAGGATGTGCTCTGGACGGTGGGAAATTGTACTCGGGAGTTTCGAGATCACTGATTTCATGTTATGTTACTTCAAATTTTCAATTTGTATTAGGATACTGAACTTACAGTCAAGTTAATCGTGGAGGTGCAATATGCATTTCTCTAGTTTTTTTGGGATTTTCTCTTCAGGTGTGAAATATGCATTTCCCTAGTTTTTATGGGATTTTTCCTCAATTTCTATTAATTAAGATAATAATATTATTTTTCAATATATCTATGTGTATAGCAAGGGCAAATCAGATGATGTCACTGCGTTTGAGAATGTCACTGTTAAAATCGAGTTTTTCAACTATTTTTCAACGTTTGGGCAACGGATATGCTGCTTCCGTTCTCAACATAAAAATGGAAAAATTATTCTTTATGTTGAAAAAGGGAACAGATTCCTTTCCGAAACGTTGGAAGCTAAATAAAGTTTTGATATTTTTTCGATATATCTACATTTCTATTCTTCAATCATTTCTCAAAACAAGGAGTCATTGATCGTAGGGAAGTGTATAAAATATATTCGATATTTCGCTATAATTCAATGATTGTGTATGTTGCAGGAATCATGGCATGAAAAATCATCGAAGACCAAGCTCATTGGAAGAAAAAACTAATGCAACACGGACAGTTCGATTGAAAACTTCAGATTCGGCTGATGACAACACTCAAAAGTAATTTCACTTTTATCAATAATTTAATAATTTGTGAATCTATAGAGCGTATATATTATTATTCCACAAATGGAGATAAGAAAAAGTGATTATAATCATGTATATATGTGTTTAGAAACGTCATTTCCACAGGTTGAAATTTGAAATGATGTATGGTGTATCCAGATTATGTGTCAAATATTCAGTGGTTGAAATTCAACCTACTTCCGTTATCCAATCGTGCTGACAATCACACAGCTTGATCACAGCTTTGGTTCTGATGACCATATTCAATTGTATATTTATCAGTAGTCATATATACTAAAACTACTTCGAAATATTTGGGATATACATCATCGATAACTTGTTGCATAATTATTACAAAGAGTGTCAGTTTAGTAGTTGAAATATGAATAATGTTCTGTTAAACCGACATCACAAACTGGCATCACAATTCAGAGTTTTCTTGGCGCGGAATATGCTTTGACTCTGAGGATCCTTCACAGTGTGCTGCGGAAACATCCGAGATCATCACGCTTGGAATGGACACATACATGCCTCATTCTTCGAAAAGATCATCACCTTCGAAACCCTGGTTGAGCAAAAACTGTTCTAGAGCTGTTGCCATGAAACAAACAGCCTACCATTGCTGGCGCAGAAACCCTAACCTCGCGACTAGAACAGAATACGTTGAAAGCCAGGAATAATGGCAGCCAAACAATAGATGCATCAGAAGAAAAAAACTCATAGATTGGGGCTATGGGACTATCAGCCCCCGGCGGTGAATTTCAAGAGGCGGTAGAGAAAAAGAGAAAAGAGGAAAAGCAAGCAGCAATACAGTCGTTGACTGGTTGAGATACTGTTTTTGTGAAAATCGTGACATGCACTAATCTAGCGTCAGCTGTGCCTTGGACGCTACAATACAAAAGCGGCGGAGGTATTTGATGATGAGAAAAAAACCGCATTCTACTCAGTAGAGTAGATGTAATTTCGTGATTCGTCTAACTCAATAACAAAAAACAAAATCAGAGTTCAGTATTCAAAAGGTTGGTATTGTTGTTAATTGTACTAAAAATTAGTAAATATTGAAACTGAATTTTAAAAAATGAGTAATTCTGGAAACGGCAAAAGATCGATAAACAAAAGCAGTTAGACGAAGTTGTCAAGAAATGCCCTAAAATACATAGATTTTTTCAAAATTCAAATGAGACAGAATCAGAACCGACAAAACCGTCACTGGGAACTTCACGCTCTCAAAACGGGAATGGTAAGTTTTATATTTTTTCACATTCAATATGCGAAATAGAATAGTTAGAATTTCAAAAATTGATGAACACGACTAAGCTTTGTTTCAGGGATAATCACAACAATTTCCTAATTGATTGAATATTGGCAATTACTGAGAATTTTTTTACTATCCCTGATGATTAGTAATGCCAGTGGTGAAAGGTCATTCTCAACTTTGAAAAGATTGAAAAACTACCTTTGGAATTCCATGGTAGAGGATACATTGAATATCTTATCAATTTCAAGTGACATGTTATTAAATCTGAATTTTGATTATTCCATTGACGCGACTTTGCAACAAAAATATCAAGAAAAGTATTTTAGTATTCATCTGTTAATATGTTAAACGTGTGAAGTAAATATAATTTGATTCGTTGTACATGATGATTTCATGTTATATGCTGTAAAAAAAGCATTGAAAGGATTATTTGAATTTTGAAACTAAAAATAGAAAATTAAATATTTGGCGGCGGCGCGGCGGTATCGTTAAAGTTAGCCCCCGGCGTAAGGGAGTATAAACAGGGCCTGATTAACCATTAGGCTGATTAGGCTGCAGCCTAGGGCGCGAAGACCGGGGGGGCGCGCAAGACGCGCTAAAATCGTGTCTTCGCATGCACTAATCTAGCATCATTGCATCTACCCTACATATTTCAACTAGACCGACACAAAACAATAAAACTAAATGCGCTTGATAGTCCCTGATTTTAACAATGAATTTTGAAATTTTAAAAAGCGCGCGTAAAACAAACACTTGTCACTCGAATCGGTTCGTGGCGAGCGAGTGAGTGAGCTGGCAATGGCGCAGCTCGCCGCGCGCGATGAAACACATCAACGACGTGCTGGGACTCCCCGGTGGTTTTAGTATACTTTGTTACTTTGCCGAATTGCCTCGCTGCATTCATTTCATTTGCCTTCTCCAAAGGGTTTGTTGCAGTTTATAAAAAGTTTTAATATTTTAAGCATGTTCCCGAATGTGGAGATAATATTAAGAATTTTTTTGACAATGAGTGTTACCAACTGCAGCGGCGGAAGGTCTTTTTCAGCACTCAGAGAGTAAAAAATTACTTACGCTCCACACTCCGCCAGCAAAAGCTTGCAGCGCTCTCGCTAATGTACATAGAAAGTGATATTCTACAAATTTGAAAAAATTGTGGAAAGATTTGCAAACGTTAAGCAAATAGTAATTACTCAATTTTTATAATTTTCAAATAAAACATTAATCAGTTGCAAAAATGTTTCACTTGTATGATGCCTATCGTCTTTAAAATTACAGAAATATAAATATATAAAAAATACTTCAAGTTGAAAACTTTTATAGGTAGTATATGAACCATGTCAAAATGTTTACACTAGTAAACAAAGTCAAGACTAATATACTCTACTTTTTAGGCCGACCGTAATACTCATGGCGGGGGCGCGACCTCATAATTAGCTTAGGGCGGTCAGAACTCTTAATCAGGGCCTGAGTATAAATCCGGCACTGGATTGTCCCAATGGTTCCCGTTCGTTTTGATCCCCCGCAAAAGCAGTCGGGGGGAAATTTCACTAATAGTTCATTTCCACCACTCTCCAAAGCTGACGGCGCTTCAGCAACAATATCGCAGAAGAAAGCAAATATTTTTGCAGAGATGATTGCAGCAAACTCTACTCTAGATTCTCAAGGAAAAGTGCCTTCCAATAATTTAATAAGCGGGTATTTTTCAATTATGCTGAAATATATATAAAGTACAACCATTTAAAAAAAAGGAACAAAAACATGCCCAACAGCAACAGGTCTCTATTTCCCTGTTATCAGTAATCTCCAAAATGATAGAGGAAGCCATCAACATTGAGCTTATCAAATATCTGGAAAGCTTTCTTTCACATACCCATACAGCACATGACATCCATTGGACGTCCATTTTAGGTCCATTTCAATTCAAAACGTCCATGGACATTGACTGGACATCCAATGTACGTACAAATATGGATTATCATTGGATGCTTCAAATTGTATTGTGGCGGTAGCTGACCGGCAGTAGCTGACCCCCAGTATGTGCAAGTTGGATGTCAGATAGAATTAATGAAATAATGTCAAATAATTTTTGATATTGTCAAAGTTGCAGTTATCATTTAGTTGGAATAAATAAATATTGATAAGAGAACACGCTCATAACTGATACATTGGTGACCCCGAACGCTTGTACCAGACATTTACAGAAGATACAGCTTCGAAATCTTGTACACCAAGTTCCCAAGCGATTCATCAAGAAACGGAGGTACGTTCTTGAATTCCATTTCTGTAAATACTCATTCAGTATGCCAGATCCCCCAGAACATAGGATACCTAATGAGATCGCTCGAGTTTCGATCAAGATTCCAGTATTTTGGCGGAAAAATGTCAAAATTTGGTTTCTTCAGGTGGAATCGCAGTTCATTACAGCTAATATATCAAATGAGACAACCAGATACCATCATATTCTTGGTTCATTAGATTCTGAGGTTGCGGAAATGATATCGGATTTAATTCCGAGACCACTTTCTGAAAAACCCTACACCGATCTGAAGGAACGTTTAATATTGCAATTTGAAGAGTCGGAGGAACGTAAAGCAAAGAAGTTATTGACCGAAATTGAGTTAGGTGATAAAAAACCTTCAACTTTGCTCAGAGAGATGCGAGCTCTAGCAGGAGATAGAGTTACTGGTGATTTTCTCCGAACTATGTTCATACAAAGGCTACCCTCAAGTGCTCGTGCAATTCTTGCGACTAGCCGTGATGATTTAGATACAGTTGCTAAAATGGCAGATAAAATCATCGAGATGACCTCACCTTCTAGTCAGTTTTTTTGCGAAACTATAAAAAAGTCATCAACGCCCGCATAAATGTCAATCAATGACAGATTTTCTCGCTTAGAAGATCACATTTCTTCTTTGGTCAGCTCGATACAGAATCTTCACTCAACAAGTAGATCCAAGACAAGAAGTCGATCCAAAACTCCTCTCAGAAGAGATTTAAACCCAAAAGTCTGTTGGTATCACAGAAAATTCAAAGACAGGGCAAGTAAGTGTATCGACCCATGCAACTTTAGTTCTGAAACTTTAGCGGAAAACTCACAAATCCATCACTGAGCGCGGCAGGTGATGGAAGCCAAAAATCTTGCCGCCTTTTTATTATGGATCGTGCTTCTGGGATACGATTTCTCATAGATAGCGGTGCGGACATTTCAGTCATTCCCCCAAAATTCATCTGTGGAAGAACCATTGTTTCAAAACGTGAATTATATGCAGCTAATGGATCCCGCATCAAGACTTATGGTGAAAAATTATTGAAAGTTGATCTTGGTTTACGGCGATCATTCTACTGGCCTTTCACGGTGGCTCAAGTTGAAAATGCAATCATAGGTGCAGACTTCCTCAATAATTTCAATTTATTGGTCGATATTAGGAATAAATGTGTACGTGATCATACCACGTTATTAACCAGTAATGGAGTTCCAGTCAAAAGTGATATCTTATCGATACATGTCATAAAACCAGAGCAGAAATACGAAGATATTTTAAAGGAATTTCCAAACTTATTACTTGAAAAACCTAATTTTGACACAGCCTACAGCGACATTTCACATGTTATTGTCACAACAGGACCTCCAGTATTTGCAAAACCAAGACGTTTACCCCCTGATAAACTCGCTGCTGCAAAAATGGAATTTCAACATATGGTTGATCTCGGTATCTGCAGGCCGTCGAAAAGTAGC